CCAAAAAAAAAAAAAAAAAAAAAAAAAAAAAAAAAAGAGTAAGGGAAAGATTTGGCTCAGAAGGTGGATTTAAATATATAAATTTAAATATATTAGTATATTAGTACATTTAAATAATTAGTATTAACTATTATAGAATTGAGCCAGGCAGGGTGGTGCACACTTGTGATCCCAGCATTCAGGAGGCTGAGGCAGGATTGCTGCAAGTTCAAGTCCAGCTTGGGTGACATAGTAAGACTCTGTCTCCAAAAAACAAAAAGAATTGATATATTGATGCTATTAATTTAGTTAATTGACATGTGTCGATTAGTAGTATAATTAATTAGCAGGTATTAATGCAGATATAGATTATCAATTTAATTCTACCAATTTCTAAAGAATGTTTAATATAGTATATTATTCTATGATATAGTTAACATAAAATATTGCCAATAGTATAAATATATTAATAATATAATACATAACTTGTATAAATATATGATGATATAGTATATGATAGTAAGTTATATTAATATTACTTATCATATTTCAAGTTATAAGAATAATTTATAGTCAGTAGAAAAATCAGAAAACAAGCCAGCCATAGTGGCACACACCTGTAATCCTAGCACTTGAGAGGCTGAGGCAGGAGGATTACCACGAGTTTGAGACCAGCCTGGACTACACAGTGCATTCAAGGCCAGCCTGAGCTACACAGTGAGACCCTGTCTCAAGATAGTGAGACCCTGTCCTCAAAAAAATAATACACAGTGAGAGGCCATCGTAAAAAAAAAAAAAAAAAAAAAAAAAGTAAATTTAATTATAAAAAACATTTTTAGCCCACAAAGGTAAGAGAGCAATCCTTACTCTCATCAACACATAAAGCCCACCAAGAAGACAGGCACAGGCTCTCAGAAGCCCTATATTAAAATCAGGAAGGTGCTTCACAAATCTTCCAGAAAACATACTGGGAAAAGGTAATCACTTCAAAGTCTCCATTCACTCAACCAAGAATGAATGGCGCAGATATATAACACAGGAAATATATTCACTTGTCAGTGGTTCCACCTTTATGTGCAGAAACACTTTCACCTGGCCTGAAATTCCCAATTTTCTTCCTTGATTTAGTCCAACATGTAAGAGAAGATTGCTAGCTCCCTCATAGCCTCCACTGAAAAGACGAAAATGTTCTACTGAAGTTCCAATCGGTGCCTGGTGGGGATCCGGGCCCTTGTAAGCCAATCCCCGTACATTAATTATCCTTTGGTGTAAAATCCACAGGAATGACGTCTTCGGATGTGAAGGTCACATTATTGGGCAAGTAGTCATAATCTTCATCCTATTTCCAATGTTTAAAGTAGCATTAAGGTGAGTCACTGCAGGGCAAAAAGTAAACCCATAAAATACTAATGTGGTGATTAGTTCCAAACAAATAATTACCCAACTTTCATTTATGCTGTATGAGTGACTAAATCACATCTTTGCACAAATGATACTAACACAACTCCATTTTATGAACCTGAACAGACCGAGGATATCTATGGTGCAGGTGTCTTCCTGAATACATTATCTGACACAATGAGAGGAATTTCAGGGGATGGGTATTTCACAGTAATGGGATCTAGCTGATTTCTCACATTGTGTCGAACCCTAAACTCTCATGATCAGAGAGCAACAAGTTCTGGTGAAACAATACCCCTAATCCTTCAGAACCTCCAGAGGGCAATGCACGGCCAGAGATTTTTACTCAGGTATCTCTAAAAGAGGTTTCAAAGGCATGAGTAATGAGAAACCAAAAATAAAAACCCCAACTCACCGGCCCTCTTGAGGAACGCATCTGTGCTTGCCAAGGGCTGCAGCTTTAGGGTCAAAGGTAGGTCACTAAATACACCACTAGCAGACTAGTGAGTAGTCCCTGCTTCCCCAGCACCAGGAAGAACCCACAAGAAAGGCTGGCTGCCCTCAGAGAGCTCACTCACAATCTAAGGATGAGGGCAAGAGAAAAAGTATAAAACAATAAGGTTAAAGTCTGACAGGGTTTTGTTGAGGTTGGAAACATGAATTTTTGTACGCTACTGTTAAGAATGGGGACCACTGCATGTGAAAAGCATTACATATAAATTATGAGAGAGCACTGAGGAGCTCATTACACGTAAACTGCCTGACACACGTGAGCTATAACTGTCAGGGTTTGGATTTTACTACGGGGCCCCCCAAAGTCTCAGGTGTGTGGAAAGTGGCTGGATCATGGGGTGCTGTACTCAGCAGATTCCTCCTCAGGAGGTCAGCCTGTTGGAGGTGTGTCGCTGACGGTGTGACCTGGAAGGCTGCACTCATCTCCTGTTTCTCCCGCCCTTCTGCTCCTTGGCTGCCATGAGGTGAGCAGCTTTCCTCCATCATGTCCTACTAAGCTGTTTCCGCCTTGGCGCCAGCTGACCATGGACTGAATCCCCAACAGCCGTGAGCCAGATTAAGCTTCTTCTTTAAGTTGTAGGTACTGGATATTTTGTCCTAGAGACAGGAAAGCTCACTAATATGGATCTTACATGTCTCCCAGAATGTTGAAGGCTTGGTCCTTGTCTCAGTTACTTTTTCCCATTTCTGAAACAAAGTATCTGATACCCAAAGTTAAGGAAAACAGGTTTGTTTTTTTGATTTCTTCTGTTTTGTTTGTTTATTTTTTATTTTTTGGTTTTTTGAGACAGGGTCTCACTATGTAGTTGAGACTGACCTAGAACTCACAATGTAGCCCAGGCTGGTTTTGAACTCACAGCAATCCTCCTGCCTCAGCCTCCTGAATGCTAGGATTACAGGCGTGAGCCACCACGCCTGGCAAGGACAGGTTTATTTGGCTCACAGTTTATAGAGGTTTCTGTCCATAGTTGTCTGGCTCCAAAGCAGGGTAGCATGGCAGAGGGACATTGCAGAGAAACAGTTCATGGGGGAAGAAAATAGCAAAGCCAGAAAGAGGCCTTAGCAGCTTCTTTCTGCCCCTTTAATATCCTATCTAGACTACTGAGATTGGTGCCAAACCAATTAGTGGACTGATTTAGTAATCATACACCCTTAATCCCAGCATCACACACCCTAGTCCAGCCACATATGAAAAAAGCCCCACCTATGACCACAGGAGGCTTTGGAAGGATATCTAGATTCAAACTGTAACAGTCCTCAACACAGCAGTGTTCAGAGGAAGTGCCTTTGGGAGGTGACTGGATTGTGAGGGCTCTGACCACTGATGGACCACAGCTTAATGGGCTACGCAGAGTGGTAGGAACTTTAAGGAGCAGGGCCTGCTTGGAGGAAGTAGGTCACCAGGCGGGGCCCTTGAAGGGCATCTTTTGTCCTTGGCCCCTTCCTCACACATTTTTTCTTTCTTTGCTTCTACGCAGTTACGAGGTGAGCAACTTCTCTCCACCACACGCTCCCCGCCGTGATGTTTTGCCTCACCACAGGTCTAATGCAATGGAGCAGCTGACCACTGACTGAAGCCTCTGAAATGTGAGCCCACAAACCTTTCCTCCTGTAAGCTGACTTCTATCAATTTCTTTGCCACAGTGACATGAAACTAACACAGTTTCCTAATAGATTATGGAACCACAAAAGAGAAAGAGGCCTATCTTTCTTCCTCCTTGCAGCCTATAGCACATTGCAATACATACTTTATTTAATCTTTATGATGAATCCAGCCCAATGGCTTAAAATAAAGAGGTTTAGTTTTAGTCCAGTTGCGCCACTATTTCTTAAGGTACCCTGTATACAGGAGAAAGCTGCAGGCTAAGCATCATGTATACAGTGATATATTTAGGGGCAACTGGGCCTTTTCAAGTAAATATGTCTGCACATGACTTTCCTCTTACAGTCCTGACTAGAACCTGGCTGCAGCACAGAAACGGCTCTAAAGCAGGGGAATCCACTGATGTGCAGGGTACTCTAGCACAGATACCTAAAAGATAAAGCCCTACACACACAGAGGGCGTCACATATTAGACTTTCCAGGGAGAGGGAAGGTGCTACAACAAGCAGCCACACATGTCCCACCTAACTGGCACTTGAGTTTTGCACACTTACTTCTGCGTCCATAAAATCTCCAGGACCGAGAACAGATTTGTCTGCTCTGTACTGTAGGGAAGACACAAAGGTAGAGGGTGTCCATCCAAGAAAGAAGAGTTTACAATTTTACAATCCTTGATAACATTTTGGTTTATAACTAAAAAAAAAATTTTTTTTTTTTTGAGACAAGGTAGTTCAGGCTGGCCTTGAGCTCACTATGTGACCCAGACTGGCCTCAAACTCTCAACGATCCTCCTGCCTCAGCCTCCCAAGTGCTGGGATTATAGATTAATAACCAAATAATTAAAGAACAAGTAAGGACTTGCAACTGCCAGTAATCTAAGCTACTGCCCACCTCACTTTTACATAGATGTAATTACTCTACATACACTTTTTATTAACTTCTCTCACCCCTGCTGTCAGATCTTAGTGGATTTAGTAGTTTCTTTATAAGAACTTGCAATGAAGAGAAATAAAAATCTATTTTGAAAGTTAAAAGTGGGAAGAAAGCTGTGTGCGATGGTGGGCTTTGTAGTCCCAGCTACTTGAGAAGCTAAAGCAGGAGAATCACTTAAGCCCAGAAGTTCAAGGCCAATCTTGGCACCATAGTTAGATCTTGTCTCAGTAAATAAACTGTAAAAAACACAAGATCCAAGCAAGGTCACTTTAAAAGACCACTGTGGGACCAGCACCACAGTAGCCTGCACAAACATATTAACGTATCTAAAGAAAGGATGGGGGTCGATGGTCATGTCGCTCAGTGGTAGAATCCCTGCTTAGCACGCAGGAGGCCCTGGGTTCGATCCCCAGCACCAAAACAATAAAAATCCCATGTATATCGCTCTAAGTATATCGAATGTATTATAATACGACATAATGTGAAAATTTTAATTTATTTTTCTCCAAGTTAAAAGTGAGTAGGCCAGGCATGGTGGTGCACATTTGTAATCCCAGCCCTTGGAGGCTGAGGCAGGAGGATTGCCATGGCGTGGAGGCCAGCCTGAGCTACACAGTAAGTTCAAGGCCAGCCTGCACTATATAGCAAGATCCTATCTCAAAAAAAAACAAAAAACAAAAAACAAGTTGCTGAAGTAACACATGGCATGCAAGAGTCTACTACCAAAGAACATTTACTTGTATTCCTCTTCCAGAATTTCTATAACAGCTTCCCTGATTACAGACTACTTCCTTTGGAGATGGAATATTTACCCCAATTTCAGAGCTTCCTTAAATTTTACAAATTTCATGCTCTTTAAACTTATTACTTCGTCCTGCTTTGTGGAAAAGGGCTGAGTTGTTCCATCACACAAGCAGAAGGCATTCGATACACTTTAGCCAAGTCTAAAACATTCTCAGATTTACGGTTTCAGGTACTATGACACAAACTACTACCTAATTTTTATCAACTCCAATTCAAAATTCTGAATTTATTTACATTTTTAAAAAACAAATTACTGGGGCTGGGGATTTGGCTCAGGGGCTCCACCACCTGCCTCGCAAGTGTAAGGGCCCAAGTTCGATCCCCAGTATCCAATAAATAAATAAAATAAAATAAAAAACGAGTGATTTTCAATGATTCAGTATAGAAAGTAGGTTCAGCGATTAGCTGAGGGCATGTCTTTGAGAGTCAGTGCTCTGGATATTAAGGCCAACTCACCTTTACTGGTGCGAGAGTTTGATCAATTTAACCTCTCTGTGCCTCAATTTCCTCATCTGTAAAACGATAAGGACATTGAGAGTAAGTTATTTCATGGAATTATGCAAATTAGATAATGTCTACAGAGTTCTTAGCAAGAAGAAGGACACAGTAAATACTTTAAAAGTGCTAGCAGCTATTATTATCATTATGGTTATTATACACAATGTATAACATGTGTTCAAAAGTGCATGTATTACCTATTGCTTCAATAATTAGACATTTCTACTTTCTTTTTTATTTTAATTTATTCTGTGTCATGAAAGTTAAAACATACTAAAAGAAAAAAAGGAAATAAAGTGTTTGTAAATGGAGAGGGGAGGAGGGGGTGAAGGGAGGGCACAGACAAGGGGAAAAAAAATGAGAACCAAGACCTGTCATGTAAAGGTACAAGATCCCAATAATGAATTGTACCGTATACCTAAAATGTACCAATAAACTCAATAAAAGTAAAAAAAATTAAAACATACTAACCACAGCTTTAGATATAGTACTGACCAATTTAAAAAAACACTGGATGAGGCTGGGCATGGTGGCGCACGCCTGTAATCCCAGCACTCAGGAGGCTGAGGCAGGAGGACTGCTGTGAGTTTGAGATGAGCCTGGGCTACATAGTGAGTTCCAGGTCAGGTTCAACTACATAGTGAGACCTTGTCTCAAAAAACCAAACCAAAACAAAACACTGAATAATCATTTGCGCACATTCCTCATCTTTAATTTTACATCCTGTTATACAAAGGTACTGTTAACACACACAGTTCTAATTCCTTACAAACCTATTTGTCAAGCTGCAAGATGACACTGCATCATAGTACCGCACAGAACGCTTCATTGAAGAAACCACATCAGCAGTATTCGGTAAATGGTTATGCGTTGAACTGACTTGCAGGGTAATATTAAACATTCCTCATAAGACAGGTATACAACAAATGGGAAAGGCAACTATTTATTTATTTGTTGTTGTTGTTTTGTTTTTTGAGACAGTGTCTCACTATGTAGTGAGACTGACCTGGAACTCACTATGTAGCTCAGGCTGGTCTCAAACTCACAGCGATTCTCCTGCCTCAGCCTCCTGAGTGCTGGGATTACAGGCGTACATCCCGCAAGGTAATTTCAATATAAGACAAAATGTCACTCTTTATGGTTAAACCTTTGGACACTTTAAAACCAGACAACACAAGGTGTTTTAATTCTCGATTCCATAACTGAACACTATTCTGTTAGTTGCCTGAGAGTCTGTAAACTTTGAGGACTGCTCATTGGCTTTTTTTGTTTGTTTTGTTTTTTGTTTTTTGAGACAGGGTCTCACTGTACAGTTGAGACTGACCTGGAACTCACTATGTAGCCCAGGCTGGTCTCGAACTCACAGCAATCCTCCTGCCTCAGCCTCCCAAGGGCTAGGATTACAGGTGTGCACTACCACGGCCGGCCCTCATTGGCTTTTTAAAGTCAACTTCAAATATAAAAGCATCTAGTTTACCAGGCAAAAGCTTAACTGATTACATGTTACATAAAACATACTTTCTATGAAAAGCTGGCTTTTAAAAAGATTGTATCATTGATGTATAATAACTTCAAAAATTATTATCTACTTTTCTTTTTGAGATGGGGAGTTACTATGTTGCCCAGACTGGCCTCAAATTCGCAGGCTGTAGTGATCCTCCTGCTTCAGCATCCCAAGTAGCCAGGACTATACATACACACCACCATGCCCAGGTTTTCCTGTGTGTGTGTGTGTGTGTGTGTGTGTGTGTGTCAGACAGGGTCTCACCGTGCATTCTAGGCTGGCCTCTAGTGCTGGGATTACAGGTATGGATCACCACGCCCAGTTTCCTATGCTTGAAACAAAAAAACAAAAGGCAAAAAGTAAACTGGAGCATATGTGAAGCCCTAGGCCTGATCCCCAGCACCACAAAAAATAAAACAGGCCGGGCTCAATGGCACATGCTTATAATCCCAGCTACTCAGGAGGCTGAGGTAGGAGTCACAAGTTCAAGGCCAGCCTCAGCAATTTAGCAAGCCCTTGTTTCAAAATAAAACATTTAAAAGGGCTGGTATGTAGCTCAGTGGTACAATGTCCCAGTTCAATCCCTAATACCAAAAAAAAAAAAAAGTACAAGAGTTTCCAGTTTCATAATCATAAAATCTCACTGTAGCTTACTATAGTCTTTAGGTCATTCCTGGAGCGTAACCAAAAGCTCAGGTCTGAAGAGCAGAGATCTCAGTTCAAATCCCTTGGCTCTACTACTGGTTAGTATTGTGGTCTTGAACAAATTACTTATCTCTCTAGGCCTCACCCTCCAACAGTGTAAGACTGGGGTAGTAATAGAGGCTGTCTTTGTAGGCTCGTAAGAAGGATTAAATAAGCACAGACAGAAGAACACATTGCCCTACTATAGGGAAACAGTTATGACTGGCTACAATGTCATTTTTTTATTCTAAAGAACCAAATTACAATTTGGGTGCCTTAATCCGAGATTTTCATCATTCCTTAGAAATGTGGACCCAGCATGATTCTTAGCTAACCTGGAGTTTCTCAATGTCATCTCTGCCGGAGTTCGTGCTGGATAATTCTTTGCTGTGGAGAGATGTTCAGAGTCCTGGAATAAGTTGGCAGTATCCCTGGCCTGCAACACTAGATGCCTATAACAACGCTCCCTGCCCCTTATCACACTCACACACTCACACACACACACACACACACACACACACACACACTCTTGCCCCTATGAGAGATAACCAAAAATACCTCCAGCTGAGCATGGCAACTGTCTCCAGCTGAGAACTACCGGGCTAAGGGGAGAGGGCAGGTCCCGCCAGGGCTAGGCGCTATTCTTGCTCAGTTCTAGAAGCACTTCTGATCTGAAAGGGGAGACAAGATCTGCAGGCAACTAAGTGGCACCTGTGGCGGCAGATGATGAGGGTCGACCACTGCGGCCAACAAGGTCTCACGGGGCTTCTGAGGGGAAGGCGCCACCTCTAACCACAGTCAGAGAAAAACTCCAGAGAGCAGGTGGCACTTTAGCCAGGCCCAGTGGTAATTACTATTACTAATAACAACCAATTCCTTCTTTATCAGGGTATGATAAGTCATTTATGTTATTAGTGCATTTATCATATCCTCATAAGGACACTAATTAAATAACTGCCCGGAGGTCCACAGTTAATAGCACAATGCTGAACCAGATCTCAACTCTGTTTCCAAGCAAGGGATACCACCCACATAGCCCCTTACTCCTGGGCCAAAATTTCCGGAAGGCCTTGCCTTTGGGCAGTAGCCCAGTTCTAGACCCTGGTGTAGAAAACTAAACACACAGCCCAGCAGAGACCTGCATGTACTGCATGCTTCTGAGAGTGTGAAGAACCACAGTACCAGCCACCCTCAGGAATGAGCAGAGTATTGATACCGGCACATAGAGACATAATCCCCAACAGAAGCATTAATTCCCATCGGCACATATGAGGTATAAGAAGGCAACATTAGGCTGGGGTACAGCACACGCTTAGCATACGTAGGGTCACGGATTTAACACCCAGCGAGCACAGACACACACATACACACGGAGGCCATGTCGGTGTTGTCGGAGAGTCAATGTTGTTGGTGTACTGAGCCGGACTGGCGGAGGGAAAGAGGTATAGGCTGGAACTGGAAAGGTGGATGGTGCAGATCCTGAATATGGCACTGTAGGATATGGTGCAGAAAACCTTGAATACCGTGCTGCAGGGTCTACGGTATGTTCTGTGAGTGACGGAAGCCCCAGGTAGTTTTAAGTGTGAATCACAGCATCAAAGAAGAAAATAGCCTGAAACTAATCAGCACAGAGGCTTATCTGGAGATGAGAGTTCTTTTTTTGTTCTGTTTTTATTTTTGCTTTTAGACAGTTTTGCTATGTAGTTTTCTAGCTGGCCTTGAACTCAAACTCATGGTGATCTTCCTGCCTCAGCTTCCTGAGTGCTAGGATTACAGGGGTAGTAAAAATGAAAATTCTAAAATCAACTGAAAATACTTAAGGAAAGAGTAGGTAAGTACAGGTGCCTTCTTTCTTCCAGGTTAGAATTGTCACTAAGCTCTGTGGCTAATTGTTTTTTAAACATTTTTTTTAGACAGCGTCTTGCTATGTAGGTCAGGCTGGGCTTGAACCTACTATGTGGCCTAGGTTGGTTGCAAATTTGTGGTGATCCTCCTGTCTCAGCCTTCTGAGTGCTGGGATTATAGGCGTGTGCTACCACCACACCTGGCTTCCATGGTGAATTTAGCCAATAAACTTTTCTGTCCGGACCAGCAACTTTAATTAAGGTGTGGAGTCCCTCCTTTACCAATGTTTGTCTAACCTATCACTAAAACTTCAAAGCAGGAGTATCTGATTATGGGCCTAGCATACTATGTTGTAAAATGTAGTCAAGTGCATTAAACTTCAAAGTGCTTAGAAAACAATGAATCAGGAGCTAGGACTGTAGCTAAGTGGTAGAAGATACACTTAGCACACAGATGGCTCTGAATTCAATCCCTAGCACCCAGAAAGGAGAAGTGGGGACAGGGAAAGAAGAGAAAGGAAAAAAAGAATACAGTTAGTCAATCCTCAAAAGCGTCTGATACTAATAAATTAAAGGACAAAGGGAGGGCAAAAAACAAGGGAAAAAAGGGGGAAAAAATGAGAACCAAGACCTGTCGTGTAAAGGTACAAGATCCCAATGATGAATGTAACTGTACTGTAGACCTAAAATGTACCAATAAACTCAATGAGAGGGGAAAAAAAAAAAGACATTCTAGGCCAGGCCAGGAGAGGAAAAAGTATACAGATCAAGTGCCTGCTCCTTCCACTTCAAAAGCATGGCTAGGACAGTGGCTTTACTTCAATTTTTTTTGTACTATCAAAATAACAATTTGAAATATGAAGGTCAAACAAATTAGGCATAGAGGTGCATGCCTGTAATCCTCACACTTGGGAAGTTGAGGCAGGAGGATCCCCATGATTTGAGGCCAGCCAGGGCAATATAGTAGAACCTATCTCAAAAAAACAGAAAAAAAAAAGGCCAAATAAATGACTTAGCAACATATCACTTCATAACAAAATGTCTATGTGACCAGACATATGGAAATGATACCAACTGATGCCTAACACAGCTGTAGTAAATTTCATTCATTTATGCATGCTTGGCCCTTGTCCTTTCACACAGCTAAATTTTAACCTGTCTCCAAAGGACCCCATTCTGCCTCCTGAGTCTTCTTTTAGTTTTTTCTTTCTTTTCTTTTTTTAGGGTTTTTTTGTTTTTGTTTTTGGTACCAGGGATTGAACTCAGGCCCTTGCACTTGCAAGGCAGGCAGCGGAACCACTGAGCCAAATCTCTGGCCCCTAAGTCTTCTCTTTTAGCATATATAGTGTTTCCTGCCTATATTGCATATTTTAGCACTTGCAAACCTTGTAATTTTGTCCTTACTAGATTTGAAACTCCTCAAATAACAGATTTTATCAACAAATTCTTCAAAATCATAGGGTGATACACATGCCAAGGAAACTGGCATGATCTTAGCTGTACTAAAGTCTAGAACGAGGGCTATGCCAGTGATGACTCTGCTGGACTGAGAGTCTGGTCTGCTTGGAGAAGAGCTCTGACAAATGGAGGCTGAGGGTGCTTTCCATGGAATTTATTACAGAAGTGGGGGTGATGTGCGTAGGATGGAGATGTCTTAGAGGAAACACAAACGCTGTCTTCAAAAGGAAGCATTCAGGAAACTAGCAGTTCTTTGCCTTTTTGCGGGGCAGGTACCAGAGATCAAACTCAGGTCCTTGTGCTATGCAAGGCAGTCAGTGGAACCCCTGAGCTAAATCCCCAGCCCCTCTTTGTGTTTTTAAAGTAGAGGGTAGGGCTGGGGACTTAGCTCAGTGGAGCCACTGCCTGCCTTGCAAGCACAAGGACCTGAATTCAATTTCCAGTACAGAAAGCAAGCGAGCAAGTGAGCAAGCAGAGGGTAGAAGTAGAGCCAGTAGCTGGCAAACATTTCTAATGACTAGAACTGTTTGTAGGGAATAAAAGGAGCATCAGTGGAGGTATCCCAGAAGTACAGCCAATGGAAAGTCTGCAAGTAACTTCTGGCCCAGGGGCTTACCATGCTTTCTTGGTCTTTCCCACGAGGCCAGCACTGCCATCAGTCCTCCCTGGATACCCAATGCATACTTGCTGAACCCATCAAGTCATTAAGTCGAACAGACCAGAAATACAGGAGAGAACCTTGATTCGTCTTGCCCTCACAGTCCACCAGCAAATCCAGTCATCTGTTTTCCAAGCAGATTGCGTTCAGACCACTACTTGTCATTGCTAACTTTCCAGACTTCTGTCTCCAGATTTTTTTTTTTTTTTTTTTTTT